ACCAGGCGAGAAAATAACAAAAATAATGAACAACCATAGACCAGAGACATTTTGTGGGGGTGGAGCGGGGAATGGGATCAAAAACGGGGGCGGGGGGAGAGAAATGCACGGGATTATGGTGATGGCACACAGGTGATTTGGTGATGGGAAACCCACGGGGATTACAATCGAGATGGAAAAAAAAATGTACAAAATGATGTAAAAATAAACTTTTGTAAAAAAAATAAAAAATAAATAAAAAGGGGGCTATTTCCTGTACTTTGGTGACATGGAGCAAACTCCTGCTGGTTGCACAGATGTCAGCCGGAAACCCCGGGAATGGAAGATGGAAGCAGCACCAGGCCAGAGGGGTAACTGGGAGAGCTTGGTGCTACTGGGAACACCAGTTTCACAGAGTAGGGGGCACTCAATTGAGTGCCACAGTTTTCCAGTAAAATGTCCAGAAGTGTCTACCAGGCTTGGCAACATGGGGGCAGGGGCCAGAGGGACTCCCTTACCGTCCCTAGCTGTCAGCTCCACTGGTGGAGGAGACAGAGGCCACGAGGGCTGGGCAGGTAACCATCTGGTCCTGAAAGGGACGAGAGAGAGCAGGGTGAGCTCATCCCAGGACTTAGAGAAACCACCAGCTGGGGGTGTCCATCTGCTCCAGATGGCAAAGCCACATCCATGGATGAGCTGTCTATTGCTCGGAGACAAGAGGGAAGTTTAGGCAGAGAAATGGCACATTTGCAAAGACCTTAAGGTTTAGTTAAGGTCCCCTCTCACAGATTTGTTTGATGAAGGGCTACGGGAGTGAAGAAGCTGGTCCTTCTGTTGCAAACTCATCACTGATTGAGAAGTCACATATGTGAATCACTTTGCCCTACCCTGGCTTACCCTACTTACATGTATCACCTCATTTTAATCCCACAACGACGTGTGAGGTAGAGATACCTACTTTACAAATGAGGAAACAGGGAGGCTGGCTTACCCAAGAATACATCGCTTGATGAGTGGTAGGGCTGGAATTTATAGCTCCAGGTACTCTGATTCCAACCCCAGTGCTCTCTCCACTCTAACTTGGTATAGTAAGAAGGAATTATTTGAAGCAGGTACCCAGTTCCTTATATGAAAAGTAAAGAAGTACCCTATTTTGTCCCAGCCAGGGCAGGACGGAAGGGCAGGTCTGGCCTTCTCAGAGGACTAGGCCAATGAAGCCGCCTGCCTGGCAGTCTGGCCTGCTGGTCTCCACAGCAAGGTGCCCTGTCCTTGTGGCCTACTGTAAGACCAGCATGGAGCTTGCTGCTGGGAACTGGGCGGCGGGTTTCCAAGGAACAGGAAGCCAGAGCAGAGGAGGCAGGGAATGAGTGGCATGTGCCTCTCAGCCACCCTCCACCCACACGGAGGAGACCTGGAGGTGTCCTGGGGTGACAGCTTGTCAAGGCGCAGCAGGGCCTCCCAGAAACTGTCCACTGGAGAGGGGTGTGGGGGAGATACCAGGGTCAGCCTCCCACTCCAGACACACTGGTCCCTGGTTCTAGAAACTGCACTGCCTAAGGCTGGTCATGCCACACTCGGAGGGGTGTGCCTATTCTCCTCTGGGGGTGTCCCAGCCTACCCCTCCTCTAGCACAATCCAGGGGCAGATGAACTCTATGAGGTCACAGCTAGGAGGGCTTCACCGGCCTTGGCAAAGCAGCTCGTAAATCAGTGTGGCCTCAAAGTCTGGCTCTGCCACTACTCAGGAGCGGGACCATCCGGGAACACTCACTTCGTTTCTTTCTCCTGGCCTTTGTTGCCCCATCCATAAGCTGGGATAATGACAATGCCCACTTGACAGGGTTTTCGTGCTGACAGCAGGTAGTCCACGTCAGGTGTTCAGCCCGACACCTGGCGAGTGGCAAGCATCAAACGCGAGCTGTTACTATCAGGCCTCTCAGCACCACGTGGCTCCCAGGTGCCTCTCAGTGTCCTCCCACTGCATCAGGGCATTCGCGAAGCAGTTAGGGGCAACAGCAGCCCCTGGGACTTGACCAAGGCCAGGAGGTAGTTGGATGGGCAACGAGGCTGCACGTGGCTGCATCTCCAAAGAGCTGCCGTCCAAACAGCTGTCCCCTCTCCCCACCCCCACCCCACTCACCTGGCCCTTCCTGTCCCAGGGAATTCAGCAGTCTACAGCGTTGACAAAGTCAGAGAATGTGACTGGTCCCTGGCAGGACCAGTGATCCAAGGGCCCCAGGACAATGTCACCAGCAGCATGCCCACCACCACCAATACAGAAACACATGTCCCTGGGCATTCTGGACAATCTGGAAATCCTATCACCTACCTTCCATGATTTTGTCATCACCATAGGTCACCCTAACTATGAACTATGTTTGTCTGGTTTTTCCTATTTAGACACTACTTTTTCTCTCCCTTACCTCTTGCCCAACACACTTGTCCCTGTACCCCAGAAAATCAGTCTCTGCCCTAGGAAGGCCCAGAGAAGAGGGAAGGTATTTGGTTTCTAAGAAGAAAGGAAAAGAAAACTGCCCCAAGGCCTGACTTCTGGGATGTGACCAGTTTCCTCTGTGGGCAGAGGTAGCTGGTTGTACCCCAAAAAGTGCTACCACAGAGAAGTGCATTTCCCAACCCCCCTGCATTTAGGTGGTGCCAAGTGACAAGCTGACACCCACAAAATGTGAATGATAATGCCCAGCATCATTTCCGGGCCAGTACTTTCCTCATGGTTACCTTCCTCTCTCCCTTGACCAGAGGCATATGACAGAGAGAGGCACAAGGTGATCACATGGAAGAAAGCCTCCCACTAATCAAACATCCAGTTAGGTGGATGAGATGTAAACTCTACTTAGGGTAAGCCACCGAGATTGTGGGGAATGGTGGGATCTATTCCTGTAGTTGTGTTTCTACTGTGCATACAGTGAGGCTGACACCAACCCCTCACCAACCTTGTAAGAGCAAGAGAAGAACCCGAGAAAGGTTCCCTAGCACTGATATGAGAGACAAGCAGCTATTTGGGGTGTTCAGCAGCCAGGCCCATGGGGGCCAGCCCACAGAATCCTGTGCTCATGGTAACAGGCAGGAATGTATGTGCTCAGGGTGCTGGGTTTCCTCAGTGGATGCATGAAAGTTGAGGTCAGTATATTAAGTGCAAAAAACATATGTGCAGAGCCAAAGGGGCAGCGATGTTGGAAGAAGTGAGTGGGACCACCCGTATCCAATTTGCTTAGAAATAGTTGAATGGCATTGGAGTTTCTCCATAAACACGCTTCTTGCTAAAGTGGCAAAGTTGGAGGTAGAGAAAGAAGAAAGGGAAGAGAACAGGCACTGGAATGTCCATCCCCTGCCCGTGACTTGTGCAGGTTCACCTACTTATGCTTTAAGAATCATTTGAAACCTCACCTCTTCTGTGAAGCCTTCCCTGGTTTCTCCAGATACAGCCGGCGGTCTCTCCATCCTTGTTCCAAGCATTCCACGCTCAGTCACAGCCCCTGAGGATCAGACTCCTGAGGACACAGTCCTGGTCTCTGTAGTCCTTGAGTCTGGTGTGAGTACCTGGCATGGAACATGCACTGAAGTGGTTGCTGAATGAACAAATGAACATGTGATTAAATGAGCAGACCCCAAGGCTGAGGAGCTCAAACTGAGGATGCTTGGGCGCCTGGGTGAGCGACCTCCATTTTTCACTTTGGAACCAGTAAAACATCCATGACAATTTTTTCAGTTTATGGAACTTTTATTGCTAAACACCACTGCTTGGGACTGGTGTGGACATAAAAGTTCTCCCTCCACCTCCTGGCCCTGATGACACTTTCACTGTAGCCAGCGCTGTCAGGCTCACAGTCAACTGCAGCCCAAGTTTTAGGGCAATCTTTCTTGCAAGCAGCGGCCTGCTTAGGCTGCATTGATTTGCTTGGTCCCTGCCAGCGAGGGTCACAGCGCCAACAGAGAGGCCTCGGAAAGTGAGGACAATGAAACTCGGGAGGAACAGGTGCCCCAGAGCACAGGCTGGGGAAGGTCCATCTCTTCCCCTGGCCCTGAGGCCAGGTACATGGAGGTTCGCAGGAGCAGGGCAACTTGGGTCCTGTTGGGAGGACCTGGGGACAGTGTCAGTGTTTTCTTCCTGGCAGTTTCATGTCCATTGTCTTTTTCTGGATCAACTGAGAAATAAAAAAGTGGAGAAAGCTGCCAAGGAACTCCAAAGTCCCAGGACCGCCCTGGCCATGAGGGATGTCTGTCCATCGGGGTTCGCCCAGGCTCAGGGCCCAAGGAGAAGCAGCATGTGTTTCCTCATGACCTGCTTCTACCCTTGGATTCAGCGACAGCCGTGGTGGCTCTCTTTGTACTGGAGCTGCCTGCCAGCCCCAGCGAGGACTCACTGCCCTGAAGAGCTCCAAGAGACCCCTTCATCCGATCCCTTGAGGTCAGGTACATATGGCAGGACGCCAGGTGGGATTACTCCCTTGGAATTCTTGGTGCTAACCACCACCTGAAATTTTCGGAGAATCTTTAAGAATAAATCTACTTCCATTTCTTGAATACAAAAATAAATTAAAATAAAATATGTCCCAAAGACTATGACCAGCAAACAGCAAGTCCTCTTCACAGCAGCCAGCCTGGACAGCCACGACACCAGCAGGAGGCTGAGAGGGGCAGGATGCAGGTGACATCAGCAGGGTCCTGCGGTGACATCAGCAGGTGTAGCTTCCTGCCAGGGATAGTCCAGGCACTCCAACAGAACCAGCTGTCCATCCCTGGACCCCAGTGGTGTCACCGGAACTGCCAGCAGTGCACATTCCAGGCTTGTCTCGGAGTCAGGGTCAGAGGAGCAAGAATTCCTGGTGTGACCTTCCAGGCCCTTCCTGGGTCCTATCTGGGCTCCACCTTCTCCATTTGTTATCAACACCCTTTAGAAACCTCCATGGTGGCCAAACTGTTGTCTCCAGGTGATTTCCAGTCTGGGGCTTGGGAAGAAATGACCGCTCCCCTGGTTTTTGATGACCCCAGGAGAGCAGTGAACACACATACACACACACACACACACACACACACGTGCACCGAGGCAGCAGACAGTGGAGGCGGCAGTAATGAAGGTGCCTGTGGCCTCTAGCCCAAAGGATGTTGCACACGGCCGGCCACTCTGACCGTCTGTACAGCAGCCAGTGCTGGGGGCGAGCAGGACAGCGGCCTAGGGTTTCCGGAAGCGCACCTCACTCTGCGGAAGAAGACAGGGAGAACCCGGGTAAGAGTGGGCTGCACGGGCCTGGATCAAAGGCCCCAAAGGTGGCTTTCAGAGCCTAACATTCAGCCCCCTGTCACCTGGCACTGTCCCCAGGGAAGGGCCCCAACCCCGGGGACGGCAGGGTTCGCAGAGGTGGGGGCAGATCTGCTGCCTGATGTCCAGTCCCCCAGGAGACTGTCAAAGAGGAGAGGCCACTTCACAGGCCAGTGATCACTGGGGCGAGGACAGCGACTGGAGCCATCATCCCACCTAGGTCCACCCTTTTCAACCCTCTGAGCTCTGCTCTAAGGAAGAAAGATAGACAAGCACAGATAACAGGCTTGTCTCCAAACCTAGCATTTGCTTTCTGTCTTGTCCCCTTCTTTCTGTATTTTCTGGACACCCCCCCCCCAAGAAAGGGGTAAAAGGATGTTTACTAAGATCCTAGGGGAATCCCAGGCCCTCTTCCAGGTACCCCACCTGCCGAAGTCCCCAACTTGCTAGGTGCAGGGCCCAGCCCGGGGCTCACCTCCATCTTGCTGTAAATCCACGGGAGGACTTCTGTCACTTTGGTGTATACACCGGGCTTGTTTCTCTGGCCACAGCCTGTGCCCCAGCTGGTGACTCCTGCCAGGTACCAGCGGCTGTTCTGCTCGCAGACGAGGGGCCCACCACTGTCTCCCTACGGGGAAGAGCAGACACATCAGCAAGGTAGAAGTGCCCTTGAGCAGGAAGCCTGGGCCTTGATCCTCACTTCCACCCAACACGCCAGCCTTTCCCTCCTCCTACAGAGCCGCGAGACCTGAGCCCCAGCCAGAAGCAGCCTAACCTGGCAGGAGTCTCTGCCTCCCCGCAGGTCCCCAGCACACATCATCCTGGGGGTAAGGTAGCTGTCATAGACCAGGTAGTCGTTGCATTTCTGGAAGTCGATGAGGTTGACCTGCACCTCCCGAAGGTAGGGGGATGTCTTCTCTTCAGTGAGGCAGAGGAGAGTGGAAGGGAAGAGAGTGAGACTCAGGACAGATTGTGGCCTGTTAGCTGTCCACCCCAGGACCCAGCCCCACAGCCTCTGGGGACTGGAGGGGACCATTTCCGGGGTTCACCATCCAGGACAAATGGGCCCACACAGCCTTGCACCAGACAGCTCTCAGGTTACTTGCATGTTGCACAAATATCACTCATTGGTTTTCAGTTACTACATGCCTTGAGGAGGGCAGGTGTTAGAATCCATTTACCGATGGAGACATTTAGGGGTGACGAACTGATTTACCCACAGCCACACAGCTAGCTAGTCTGTTGCGGAGTCAAGGTCAGAGCAAGGCTGTTCTCAGACCAGGTCTGTCAAAGACTGTCATCCCCTCTCCGATCATACTGACACCTGCCCCGGGCTTGAGTCTACAGCTAGGTCAGCCGAGGAGAGTGTCCTCCTGCCAAACATCAACCACTCTACAGAGCCGGCATCAGACCAGGCCACTCTGTGACCACAGGGAAGTGAGGCAAAGCTGGCCCGCCGCAGTCTTATTTAAGCACAGATGAAAACAAGATAGGCCACGATGCCCAGCCCCAGAGAGGCCAAGCCACCCATCTCCCAGACAACAGGAGAGACTGGGCTGCTCCACCCATCATGCCTTTAAACTCAGGCTATTCTGTCTTCTTTTAAGAGATTCTCAGACATCCAATCATAAAACGACCCTGCTTCCAGAAACTACATCCCATATCCTGTGAGAAGTCCTTCCTAACCCAGTCCCTCTTGGCTTTCCAGGGCGTGTGACCTCCCTGCCCTCGAGTACAGAGCGCCTCATCTATGTCCACTCCACACAGATATACATGTGCGCAGCATACCACACACATGCTCGTGTGCGCACACACACGCCACAGTCTAGCATCTCTGCTTCTCACCATCTGTCTCCTTGGTCTTGCCAAAGCCCGTGATCCAGCAGGTCTCGTTGAGGCGGAAGGTCTGCCCATGCATGGGGAGGCAGGCAGGGTGGACGTGCGCTGCAACAACACCTCAAGACGTCAGGCTGGAGTGCTGGTGGGGGCCAGGGATGGAGGGCAGAGTACCGAGGTCCTGGGGCCCCCCCTTGCCCCCACAGTGGTTCTGCATTTTCTAAGGCTCCACATTGACCAGGGAAGAAACTCAATCATGCATACCAAGGTTTGGCCCCGCTGAACATTTCAATTTCAGGGGGGTCTTGCCTAGCTGAGCCTCTTCCACACCTGTCCGTCAGAGAAAGGGGCAACGAAAGGCTAAGTCCAGATAGCACAGGACAGTCCTCCAGTCTAATTCGGGACTCACTCGTTGGCTGGCCAGGGCCAGAGACTCTCTCTCCAGGGTGAGACAACCTCCTTAGACTGAGAGCACATTTCTGGAGGCCCAAAGCATAAACACTGCTCACTTGCCCAGAAGCATTTAGAAGGTGCTACTGTGCATCATTTTATAAACTCTCTCTGCAGAGTGGGGTCCCTCGATGGACTAAGGTATCCATTACAATTTGCAAAAGCAATTTGCTCACTACAGTTTACTGCACTTAGACTAGTGGTATATATATATATATATATATATATATATATATATATATACACACACACACACACACATACACACACATATAGTGTTAAACACAGAGAAAGAGAGAAATTCACCCCTCCCCTATACACTGGGCTTTAAACACTGGTGTCTAATAGAAAGTCTGCTAGAGAGTAAACAAACAAAAATGAATAGGATAGCAAAAATTATTAACAAAAATTGCAAAACATGACTTCTTAAAATAGCCTTTGCCCATTTTTTATATATAATCTTAAAAACATGTGACAGGTACGTATTCTCCTTTTTAGTGAGGAATTCAATTTATCAGTGAGTCTTCACAAGTTTTTCTTAGCTAGCACTGTGACTTTTAAGTGTTCACCTTGCCAAACGAGTCTAAGAAAATCTGCTGTAATTTGTAAACCCAAAATCAAGCCACATGGTCTAACGGCAGGAATACATAGCCCTGGGTGGGATTCTCAGGTTGGGGGCCCAACTCCTGCTGCAGCCCATCAGTCTGGAGAGCAACCGCCACATCTGAGAAGCCCATGCAGTGTCAAAGTAGTCTGCATTTCACAAACATTTGATTTGATTTAGCATTCCAAATAATATTTGGGCTATAATACTAAGGGGGCTAGAGGTAACGGGAGGTGAGTCTGGGTGTTAAGCAAAATGGAGTCTGAGTTTCACAAGGTTGAGAAGGTCTATTCTGGCCCGACACCCCTGCACCTTTCCGCATGCATGAAGGACAAAGAGGCAGGGGTACACCGTGAACCTCATCAGCCTCCACAGCCAAGGTGGTGGGGGCCGACGGAGGGTGACATCTTGCCAGCTAGTAGACATGGTCTTGCCTGACCCAACCAGGTTCAACTGGGTAGGTGTGGCTATGGGCCAGCCCAGCCCAGTTACTCCTTGAAGGTTCCTCACTCCACTCTGACGAACTAACTGCACTGATTCATGACGGACATTACTTCAGTAATTAAAGTGCAAGGAAATACTGGCTCACAGACTCAGTCTGAGGCTAGACCAACCAGAGAGCTCTCCAAGGCTTCAAGAAATCCCAGTCCAGCTCCCTCCAACCTGGCTTCATTGCTTCTAGGCCTGTCTTTGTGTGTGTTACCCATTTTATTCTACCACCAATAGCAGCTAAAGACTGAAATCTACCAGCCAGATACCACTTGCTATATTGAAGACACAATATTTGATAAGAAAACAAGCAGTGGGGGCCTCCCTGGTGGCTCAAGGGGTTAAGTCTCAGCACTATGAAGCTATCCAAAGCCACTGCAGCATGAGTTCCATCCGCAGCAGGGACGCTAACCCCTGTGGCGCAGCAGACCTCTCCTGTCTAGCCTGCTGCTTCCCCTCAGCAGTGTACTTCAGTAGATCTGCCTGTTTTGCTCCCCACTCTGTCTCTGGTGAATCCTCTCAACCCTGCACCTCTGGCCTGCACCCCAGCTCTTGTGTGCAAAAAAAAGTGAAAGAATGAATTCATGAATGAAGTCCAATTTGATATGTTCCTGAGAACTGAGGCAGCATTTCCTCTGTGCAGCCTTTGATTTCCCCATGCTGAAGCTCTGGGGCCCCAAGATAGGGCAAGAGTGGCTGCCAAATGCAAGCCAGCCTGGGGGCAGGCAGGACAATCAGGCTGGGGTGTGACAGGTGTTGATTCACTCACAAGACAGGGTCAGGGGCTTGGAGAGCCGCATGAGGGCGATGTCATAATCGTCCTGCTCATCGGTGTAGTTGCCATTGATGATAATCTGGGAGATGGAGCTTGCCTCGGGCAGCTGGTGCAGATTGCTGGTGCCCGCATACACCTTCCAGCCCTCCAGGATCTTCTCCCGGGTCCTGCAAGAGCCACAGAGATCACGGACAAGTTACCCACTAGCAGAGCCCACCGACGGCATCTCCCGTACACAGGCTTGGAGGCGGAGGATGGATGAAATGGCCTCTGGAGGGAGCCCTCCATCTCAGCCCAGGTGTTCAAATCAATCCTTCACTCCCACAACACCTCTGCCCAAACCATTCTGAACTAGCCACTGTGCATCTTACAATAAAAAAAAAAAGGAAGGAGTTAAGACCTCGGAGAACAGTCACTCCACTGTCTCCTCTGCACCCCACTGAGGACCAAAGAGGGGTACTAAAAATACCTCTGGAGCATCAGCCTCAGCAGAAATGGAGCTTCAGACAAGACAAAGTGGCCTCTAGAGACACATTCTGGGGGAACCAGTGCTCGTGAGGTCTGGGCCCCTTCAAGTCTACCAGCTCAAAGTGTTCTGCCTGGCTGGCGACTGATAGAAGCTAACCATGCTCTGTCTCTGCAGGCCCCACCCCTCCATTTCCTGATGTCATGGGTTTCTTCCCTGTAAGTTACTGGGGCAGAAGGCAACAATACACCCCAAGCCTCTTTATTTCACTGTTCTTCAGAGGCAGGCTCCACTCAGGTCCTTCCTGCTCACCCCACTCTCCCTAGAGGCCCTATCAACGGCATTTTCTCAATCCAAACCTAGCTCAGAACAATGACGCCCCAACTCACATTCCCAGCACCAGAGACCTACACAGGTTGTGTGACCCACGAGGGCCAGGCTCGCCCCAAGCCCTCCTGCACTGAGAGACAACTCCGTCTGCCCGCAGCCCTTTCTGGTGATTCCGGGTCCCAAAATCCACCCCTGCCTTCAAATCACGCCCCTCTGGGGTACTCACACGAAGAAGCAGTGAGCAGCGGTGAGCACCCACTGGGCGTCGATCAGTGTGCCCCCACAGATGTGGGTGGTGCCATAGTGCAGACTCACTTGCCATGGCCACTTGCTCTCGGGGGCAAGCGCCCCCCCCACGATCCGCCCTGTCATGGCCCTCAGTCCACAGTCTGGGGAGGAAGCAGAAGAGACATGTTCCCAGAATCCGGGACAGTCTTGGGCCAGCACTGTCCTGAAGGCACCCACCTGCCACAGACATCATTTTGTCACTTAATTTGATACGGCACCCCCGTTTTCTGATGAAACAGAGCTACTGCATGGTGAGTAAGCTTTCGGGGATCATCCAGTGGGAAGTGTGACCCTAGGCAAATTCCTTTTCCCTACCACTCATGCATTTCTTCACCCACTGACAAATGCTTACTAAGGGCCCAATGCTTTGGGCGCGGTGGTTAGCCTACCATGGCAACCATCAGGTGTTTGGGAAAGTAGACCAACTCTAACACAACTCTTGATAAGCACCATGATGGGGATCTCTGTGGTTTCAAACAGATGAGAGACGTCCCATGATGCACAGATGGGTTTGTGCTCACGTGCTTCCACAGAGCAGCATTTTTTACAATAGCTGGGTCTGGGAAGTAGCCTAAATGTCTACCAACAGACATTTGGCTCAACAAGATGTAGTCTATCCAACACAGGAAGCATTATATAGTCACAAGAAAGAATGAAATGCAGCCATTTCAATAAAATGGAGGGAATTTGAGAGAATTACAAGCAGCAAAGTAAGTCAAGTCGGAATGGTGAAAACAAATGCAAGATATTTAGATAGCAGAAATTCAATGGTGAACACATTAGAAAACCAGTGGATGTTAACAAGCACCCTAAAGGCTCTGAGTTAAGGGGGAGTGGAGGGAAACGGTCAAGGGGACAAAAGGGGTGGTGTTGGGGGAAACAAAATAAAGATACTAGTACAAAATAAATTTTAAAAGACACAGGCACAGTGTGCAAACAAACACACTCTAACACACTGGCTCTAACTCTAATCTCTAGTAGTTTCATATCTATTTATACAGGTGCTTTAACCTCCTTTCCCAGCTGTCTGACCCCTGCCCAGAATCCAAGAGCCTTGAATGGCTTTCTTGGTAGGAGCAAGGCTCTAAGGTGGGCAGTCAGGAGAAAAGGAAATGCTATGCTGGAACTGTCCCTACTGACTAACAGGGGCCTCTATCCCCCGCAGCAGGCCTGCTAAGCCCTTCTTCCTGACTTGGATCCCCAAAATGGCAGCTCCTCCAAAGGAATCCCACCCCTCTGCCCCACCCCACAGAGGTCACAATCCAGGAGGAAGAGCATCTTCTTACGGGAACACTGGAGAGAGATGTAACGCTGAGAAGGGCACTGCGACCTAAAGGAGGAGACACAAAAGATGGTAAAAGGGCACAGTAGTCACCTCCTCCGGAAGCCTTCCCTGATTGAATCTGGCTCAGTTCCTATCCCATTTCTTTTGCACACGATGGAGATTCTGACCTTCTCTCTCTGAGGGGGACAGGCCCTTCCAGTGCCTTCTCCTGTGCAAACCATCCTTATGCTTCTCCTCATCCTCCAGTTTTCCTATCTGGTAAAGTTCCTCGCCCCCTAACTTCTCCCTCACTAAGGCTGGGACAGGGTCAGGCTGCCTTACAAAGAAGACAGATGAGAAGGGAGCCCCAGGAATGACCATGCCCCCCACATGGACCTCCTGTCCCTGACCCCATGCACCTGGCAGACCCTGCTGCTGTGCCACCCCCCCATCCACTCCCTGATGCTCCCCCCCACCCCATACCCCACTCCTACCCAAGCCCACTCCCTCCAGCAGCTTTCAGTTTAAAGAGCTGGCTGATTGGTGGTCCTGAGGTTAATCATCTCTGGTAACAAGGGGGCACTCCTGACTTCAGTGATCTGAAGGGATGCTCATGTGCTCCCTTCACCACACCTCAATTGGGAATTTTTAAGTCAGGAGGCAGGTGGTGTATGGGATGCTCCTGAGGTCCCTCACATTCAGGATCACACCTGGAAGTTGAGTTCCCTGAAAGGACCAAGGGAGAGGCACTTCCTGACTCAGAGCGCCCTGCACTCCCAGCCCTGTCACAGACAGGGCGCCTGACCCGCTCCACCACACCTGTAGAGGCTTTCCTGGATAGTGGAGTTGTAGTCAGAGATTGCGAAACTGTTGGCAAAATCCCGATGGGTCACCTCTGCTGTCCGGTAGGCACTGTAAGGGAGGACGGGGTGAAGAATGAGCCCCCTGAAAACAGAATTCATCCCACCCGGCCGTGTGGGATGAACAGGCAGGCCAGAGGCTGTCAGGCCCCCACTAGTGTGTTCTACCACTGAGCCCCACTATACGCAGGCCTACTAGTTTTCAAAATGTGGCCCCCTGTCCCCCTACAGGCACCCTAGGGAACTTGTGATAAATGCAAATTCTTAGGCCCTACCCCAGACCTACTGGGATAGGAACTCTGGTTCTGTGTTTGAACAGGCCCTCCAGATGACTCGGAGCTCTCTCAATTCAATAACACGGACCTAGCCCTGTTCTTGCCAAGCTGTGATTCAGAGACTAGCAGGAGCAGCCGCAGCACCCAGACCAGCTGAGTCAGACCCTGTGGGTTACAGGTCCCAGTGTTACAAGTCTGCACGACGGAGCTGGAAACTCCCCCGCTGGCTAGCTGGGTCTCAAGCCGCAGCGTGCGTAAGACTCACCTGGGGGTGTCATGTCTGCTGAACTGTTCTAAGTCCTAACCCGGAGATTCTGACTTTTGGGTCATTTTCACAAGTACTGCTCATCATTCTGATGTGGGTGATCCACGAACCACTGCCTGTACGGAGCATGTGGCATTTCTAGAAGGTGGAACCTCCTAGCATGAGTGTGTGCCCTTGCAGGTGCAGTTCCCCACCTAGGGGCCTCCTCCAGGTTCTGCTCCCCTCTAAGTAGTCTTCAAGGCTACTGCTGCATGTGCTGTACATATCAGGTTAAGCCTCCCTTGCCCACACCACACCACAGGTTCTCCAAAGGCAGGGATCTCGCCTGTTCCTTGGTGTCTGGGGGCCACACGACATCTAGAACATGGTAACAGCTCAGTAAATTCTCTGTGAGTAAGTGACACTGCACCGATGCCCGGGGAGGCTCAGACTTGCATAAAGCCTCACAGCTCAGTGATGAAAGCTGTCCGTCCTCTCCCAGCTGGAAAACATCCTCTTTCACAGACAGGACTCTGAGGCTGAGGTGGGGCAGACAACTGGTTCAAAGTTCTAAGCCCCCAAGCCCTAGTTTCCTAGGGGCACTGTCTGTGGAGAGCCCACAGTATTCTAAACCCTTATCCCTACAATCTCATACACCCCACAGCTTCTTGGTTTGAAAACTCAGGCCAGGAGAGGGGTTAGAGATGACTGTGTGGCCTGCAAATCAGAGACCCCTTCAAGCAGGACGGTTATTGTGCCCCCATCCCTGCTCCACAAAGAGCCTTATAAGTGCACCTGGTCATATTTGCTCTTCTAGATCCGTTTGAGGAACTCTAGCTCAGACCACACCACTCAAAGTTCACTGAGGGGTCCTACAGCCTTAGCTTCTAGTTCCCGGATGTGAGAAGGTGGCCCACCCAGGCCATAGGGCCTTGGGGTCCTTCAGTGTGGTAAGGGACATGAGTGTCCCTTACTTGCTGCAAAGAACCAGACAGCTGTGTGACTCCACTGCAGGTTTGGGGCAGACTGGGGCCCAGGGAAACAGCTTGTCCCAGTCTGTAAGATCCCAGCACCACTGTCCCCCAACCAGTGTCCCAAGCCAGTGACTTCAGCCCTGGTCCCCAAGAGACTTCTGAATATGAGGCACCTGCAAAGAACCTGAGACAGCCCTGAAGCTAGTGCCTTTGGGGGCTAGAGGGAGGGGAGAGGTTTACTTCTCAAATCCCAGCTGTTGGCACGTCCTCTCTGAGTAGGAGTCGTTCCAGTTGTCACTGCAGACGGGAAGCCACTGATGGGAGGATCCGGAGTAGACTTTAAGCAGAGAGCTGTCCCAGTCAAACCTCACTGCAGGACAAGAGAGGGGCAGAGCAGAGCCTCAGTACCCACAAAGCTTCATGTTCTTGGGGAACAAGCTGAGGAAGATCTGAGGTGCTCCTGTTTTGAGGCTCCTGGAAATGTCCAGAGAGTGGCTGGGAGTTGATGGTCATCACCAGGGCTCAGAAGTCCAAGACCCCAGTAAGGGCAGAGACTGTGACAGGATCCAGGGGCCACTGTGGCTGAAGAGGTGAGCGTGGCCAGGAGCTGTCACCCTGAGGGGCAGTAACGTGCCCAAGTGAGAGAGTGATGAGGGGAAGAAGGTCTGTGCTTGCTGCAAGGCTCCGTCACAGGACACGCACGGGTAGGCTCACACACAGACACCACGGAGTGGCCAGGCCGCCCACCAGGGCCACACACAGACAATCGTGAACGCCACTGAGGGCCAGAGCTCAAGGAGAGCTTTGTGCTCAGCTAGGCCAGTCATTTCCAAATCGACTTTCATGACACCCCAGGATGGCATGTCAGAGGACATGTGCCGGACAGAGGCGGCATGTGTGGACAGGGCTTGAGACCGCAATCCTGCCTCCGGTCGGAGCAGCTCTGCTTTGTTCAGACTGATATTTCTGAACTGGCAGACCTTATTTGTGAACAATTAATCTCATCCAAGTCATCGAGTCTCCAAATTGGAAAACTGAAGTCCAGAGTAGACAAGTGACTTGCCCAAATCACACAGCACTTAAAGCCAGGTGTCAAACTGAAGTTCACACTGGCTGGTACCCAGACCCTCTGGTTCTCTGCCCGATGCCTTCCACTGACTTTGCACCCCAGCCTGCAGTCCCCAGGGTGCAGACTCATACACATGCACACACACTCACACGGGCACCCAGGCCCAACCTCCTTACCACAGCCCAGCTCGTCACTTTTCAGCTTGCAGTCCACCACGCCGTCACAGCGCACAGCATGCCTGGGGCAGCTCTCAACGGGCTCTTTGTACTTGATCCCTGTGTGACCACGCCAGAAATAGACTAGAAAAGAGGAAGCAGACAGCTGGGTCACTGCCAGCCCCAGAGAGATAAGACACTAAGTAGCCCAAGGCCCTGGGGTTCTGAGACACCGACCTGCAATCCCTCTTGGACTCTGGGGTTCTCGTCCCCCATCTGTATGGAGAGAAAGGCTGCTCAGGAATACTCCAGAAAGCTCCTGCAAGCAGGGCAGCACCAGGCAGACTCGAGCAGCCACCCAGAGAGACAGAGAAAGAGAAACAGGGAGAGGGAGGGCGGAGGTGTGGAGGCGCACTACTCTGGGACTGCTCCTGCTTACGCGGGCCAGAGAGACCTCCTCCAGCAGCCCAGCGCCCCCTTCTCAGGAGCTCTGGTACCCCTTTGTGTCTGCGCTCCGTGGGGTCACAGAAGAGAAATCTCTATCTCCGATCAAGTGCACCCAAGTACGACTTGGCCTGTCCTCTCGAAGGCTGTGCTTCCACATGAGCAGCTCCTGGAGTTCTCCCTCCTCCTTGGCTCTACAGGGGATGTCCTCTCGGCCCCTTTCTGCCCCATTCCTTGTTATTACTTCCCCATTCAACCAGCAGCTCTAGGTGGCTAAATCCCACGTGCCTGAGCCCTCCACACCTAAGGCAAAGATCAGCTCTATGATCCCTTTGTCTCTAACGCCTGTTTCTTCCAAACTAGGCACTCCTGTCCCTCCTGCCGGAGAAACCTCCCCTCGGATGCCTAGAAAAGCTGAGTTCTAACTCCTC